AGGAGACGGCTAGGCGAAATGCAGCAGCTGGTTATCCTCAGAGAAATCTAGATATGTTGTTAGGAAAGGGACCTTATGAGGATCAGCAGCAACAAATTGCATATGATCCTGGCGTATACGCACAAATTGCTGCAGATGCAATTAAGGCATGGAAGACTTTACAAGGACATGGAGGTTTACAAGGTCAATTATCTAAGGTAATACAAGGAGCTAATGAACCTTATGCTGAATTTGTAGATAGGCTTATTCAAACAGCTACCAGAGTTTTTGGGAATACAGAACAAGCAATGCCATTACTAAAACACCTGGCTTATGAGCAAGCGAATCGTTGGTGCAGAGATATCATTAGACCATGGAAACATGAAGATTTAAACACATATATTAAATTATGTAGAGACATTAATGAACAAGAGCAAGTCATGGCAGCTGCAGTAAAACAGGCTTTAGATGCCAGAGACATTAATGAACAAGGGCAAATTGTGGCAGCTGCAGTAAAACAGGCTTTAGATGCCAGGCCAAGAACATGCTACAATTGTGAACAAACAGGACATTTTAAAAGGCATTGCCCCATTGGAGGAGGGTTTAACAAAACTAGGTATCAAAGGAGTAGAATACCAGGTATTTGCCCACGATGCCGTAGAGGGAGACATTGGGCTAATGAATGCCGTTCTCAAACCACCATAGAGGGTACTCCATTATCAAAAAACAAACAAGGACCAGGTGTTTATCCACGATATCGTGGAGAAAGGCATCGGGCTCCATTGCCAAAAAATGGACAGGGGGGCCCAATGCTCCGGGGCCCAAAACCACAAATATACGGAGCACTGGAGGAACCCAGCAACCCCATCAGGGTAGTGCCCAGGACACATTGTCCATCAGATCCCTCATCAGACAAACCAGAGGGAGCGCAGGGTTGGACATCTGCGCCTCCGCCAGAGCAGTACTAACTCCAGAGATGGGAGTTCAAATCATTCCCACAGGGGTGAAAGGACCTCTTCCCAAAGGAACAGTAGGCTTATTATTGGGACGCAGCTCTTCTACTCTAAAAGGACTTATGATAAGTCCTGGGGTAATTGATCCTGATTATGAAGGTGAAATAAAAATTATAGCCAGTTCTCCAAAGGGTATATCAGTAATTTCACCAGGAGATAGAATAGCACAGTTACTAATAATACCCAGCCTACATGATAAATTTTCCACTCGTACTGTAGAAAGAGGTTCCAAGGGATTAGGCTCCACAGGTGTAGATTGGGCTATGCTTTCTTTAAATTTAGATTCTCGCCCCATGCTAAAACTAAATATTCAAGGACATGAATTTAATGGGCTACTGGATACAGGTGCAGACCTTAGCATCATCTCTCGTCAAGAATGGCCAAAACATTGGCCATTACAACAAGCCACTCAAACGCTTCGAGGCCTAGGAGTGGCAACTAATCCCCATAGAAGTGCAATGGTATTAGATTGGAAGGATCCTGAAGGATGTGAAGGAACTATACAGCCATATGTATTGGATCATCTTCCTATAAATTTATGGGGACGAGATGTCCTAGATCAATTAGGTTTAACATTAACAAATAACATCAACCAAAATGCACCCACTATTATGACTAGACAAGGTTTTAGGAAAGGAAAAAGATTAGAAAAACAAGAACAAGGTATAGCAGCAGAAATGCAAATAGATCAAGGAACAGACAGACATGGGTTGGATTTTCAGAAAGGGCCACTGAGAAATGCCGCAGTCTGGCTGGGCACAATCAGGAGCCACTTGTCAAAAGAAACTAAGTTTATTTTTAGAACCACACACGCCAAACAAAACAGCCTCTCAGGAAAAACCCTCAGAGCCTCAACTGCCACCACCGGCTTTCCACAAGCCTCTCTCTCCCACACAAGCTTCTCTCCCTCTCCCACAATCCTCCTGCTCTTGAAGCCGATTGGCTGGGTCACGTGGGCGGAGCCAAAAAAGTCCCCCAATGAGCAGCTCCGTGGTCTGAAAGGGCAGGGAAACAGTCCAATGAGCATCACCGCAGAGGAGCCAATCAGCTAGATGTTGCTGGGGCCGTGGAGCCAATCAGCTAGATGTTGCTGGGGCCGCTGTGAGCCAATCATCAGCCGGCAGCTGGAAGTTTGCTGGCAGCTGGAAGTTTGCTGGGGCCCCTTTGGCTGTGGCTCTCAACATTTTCATATGCAAATGTACATACACATCAGTCTGTACAGATGCTACAGTCCCTGTGGGGTCTTTTCCATTTAAAACTCTGGCACTTCCATGTCATATACCTGCTCCTTTTATGTTTTCTTACTATAGTGCAAATGTATATATTTCTGACTGGCACAATTACACCAAAAATAACTTGGAATTAGAGTGACCACTTTGGGAGAACTGTGATATGGATAAAATGGTTCAACTGCAAGTTGCCCTAAAATAAAAAAACAAAAAGCACAGATCTGAGTGCCCAATGGTCTGCTGTGTGAGGATGCTTCCAAATACAACTTGAACAGAACATATGCCTCCCTAAAATATTCTTTAGCCACAGGTCACATAAAATACAAGCATCTTATCCTTCATCAGCACCAATGGACAGTGTTCAGGATTCAGGATTAGCTTTAGATGTTGACATGCCTGGTGCCATTTCCATATCATGCTGATGGTTTAAGTCATAGAATATTAGGTAAACAACAATGTTGGCTAGCAATTCATTTCACTGCATAAATGTCAAGATTGGCAAAACATTTTAAGTATACTCTAGTTACCAAAAAGGAGAAAACCCTCATCAGGCTGTATAATTTTTTTTTTTCTCATTTTTTTGGTGGTGGTACGAGGGATTGAACCCAGGACCCTGCACATGCTAGGCCAGTGCTCCACCACCGAGCTGCATCCCCAGCCCTCATGAGGCTTTATCAGCAACAGTCACTTTATTTCACATGGGAAGGCATCATTTTCTTCCTTCCCACAAATAAATTGAGCTTTAAATTTCTCATGGCTTTAGAATAGTCTCCACTACAGTCAGTTTGCTCTCCATTTTTTCCTGCCTGGCTTCCTCTTTTTTTTTCCCTTCTTTTGAAAACTTGATTTACTCAACAGAGTTCAGTTGTAAGATAAGACCCTGTCTCAAAAATAAAATAAAAAGGCCTGGGAATATAGTTCAGTGGTAGAACATCCATGGGGTCAACTCCCAGTACTAGAGAGAGAGAAAGATATATTCTCACTCACCACCAAATACAGTAAGTTTAAGAGTTAGGGTTATGGAAATTCTGTTGAAGAAAGTCTCAGAGAACTGTTTCCAGAATCCCTGTTAGGGCATTCCTGAGCCTTCCCTACTGTCCTTCTCTAGGCAGGAATTACATGATAAAGACACTCATTTTTTCCAATTTCCCTAAGCATTTGGGTATCTTCCTCTATTGTACCAAGAAAGTTCTGACATTTCAACTTATTTAGTGTAGGATAGGTTTGGATCTGAATTTCAATCAACCAATATACAGAGCTATTCTCAGTTTCTCAGAAATAATGAACCCAAGTCTCTGCCTAATAGGTCCAAGTCAATAAATTTGGCCTGATCTGATTTCATATTCCTTGTACCATGATTACACTCTTCACATCCATTTCTACATATACCCAAGGTTTCTCTCAGTAAAAACCAGCAAAATCATGCAGATTGGGGGAGCATATTGTTATGTCCCCAGTTACACTGGCTCTTCACCCTTTGAAGCCTACTGCAACATAAGTCTGGTTGTAGGTTTAAAACCAAAAAAAGGTAGTGGAAGAAGGCCCTGAGGGGTCAGCCATGTTTTGGAAGGCACATACCTCATTACATGTTCTTCATGCAGAAAGGGGCTAATCAACATTTGCAGTTCAGTCTCATGGTGACCTTCCCTAGACTCCAGTGACAGTGGCTGGTACCCCGCCCCAGAAGCAGGTCCAGCCACCAGGGGATCCCCCTCCTGAGCTCTGACACTACCATCGCCTACACAGCAGCATTCTCTCCACATGGTTCCACTTTAGCTCCACAGGCCTCTCTGCCAACCTCCAACCATTCTAAGCACTTGTTTCTTCCTGCTTTGGTGGTCTGCCCCTACAAAGGTGGGATTCAAACACTGCCATCCCCCAAATTGGCTCAGATGTTGAGATCAATGACACTGCACACATGGGATCATGAAAAACTTGACCATTCATAACTGAGGCTTTCTGGGCAGAAGCAGGGCAGGCACCTTTCTCTTGGGGGTAGAGAGTGGCTCTGGTTATTGTAGTCACAGGATAGGTCTCAGTGAACTGCCAAAACCCAGGTTTGCATGGTTTGACACTCTGGCATTGAGGGGACGTGCTTGGCCTCTCAGCCTGCGCCAATGTGGGGCAACATGAGGGGAGTGCTTAAAAATTGTCAGCAGCCACACATCATAGATGCGGGCAGACTATAGCAGACTCTGCCTCCACGACACTGTGGCATTCTTTTTGCCTCTTTATTTTAAAATACCTAGTCAACAATTCTTAAGTTCTCTTTAAGTAATTGGCATGGTTTCTGACTCCTGAGTAGAACCTGACAGAAAATCCTGCCATTCTTATTAGAGTTAGCATTAATTTCAAAGGTGCAGGAGTTGGCATGTGAACATTTACTCTTTCCCTTGTTTCTTTAATAGAGTAGAATGGCTGACAAAGCTGACAATTCCATCCCCAGGGTCCCATTCCTCATCAGAACCATGAGTCGACAGCTTCTGGCTTCACTTCCTATTTTCCAGCAATGAGTTATTAAAGAAAATGGAACGTACGATTTCCCATAAACTGTTTGTCTTAGAGACCATGTATCAATACACACAGAACACCCTCATTTTTCAAATCTGTTGCATGGTATTTCCCCAGAGGCACAATTGTTTAACCATCCGTCACTGCCATTTGCATTGCTTTCAACTTTGGGAGGTGAGGTCTCTGAAGCCATAAGATTAAGTGACTTACTTACTCTAGTAACATCAAGAAAAGAAAGAGCTGATTTCTACACCATCACAACAGAACCCATGCTTTAAAATGTTTTATTCTGACATATTTTAACTAACAGTTAAAAAGAAGCCACCGCGTTATCCCGTTAAATCTTAGCATCCTGATGCATCTGCATCAGTTTTTAGAAAGAACACAAGTGAAGTCCCCAAGTGCTCTCCTTGATTCCATCAGCATCTCCTGCCCTGGAAAGGCAGGGCAGTGACATGCATCCAACATTACAATTCATGATTTTACACTCTTATTTCATGTCATTTGAATCCACAGAAAAGTGGATTGTGCAAAATAATACTATTACATATCAAGAATGTTTACATGCCAGACAACATTTTAAGCATTTTACATGCATTATTTCATTAATTGTCCCCCATCCCAATCATTCTGTGAGGTTGGCACTACTATCCACATCACAGAAAAACACAAACCAATAAAAGTGTGTGCCCATGAACACACAGTATGTGTGACTTTACACAAATGGTACACAGTACATAGCTTCTGCAATTCTTAGCGTTTTGTGTACATGTATGTATGGTACAGGGGATTGTACCCAGGGGCGATCTGCCACTGAGCTATATCCCCAACCCTTTTTAGGTTCTGAGACAGGGTCTTGCTAAGTTGTCCAGGCTTGGCCTTGAACTTGCGATCTTCCTGCCTCAGCCTCCCAAGTAGCTGGGATTACAGACGTGCACCATCACGCCCAGCTTCAGCCTGGTTTTTATCTGGGTTGAAAGATATAATTAATTGTCTTTTATATTCACTTACTAAAGTACCAAAAAGCAACCCATTTGTTTACCTGTTCTTCTGTTGATGGCATGCAGGGTTCTGCCAATCCTCCTTCCTAAATAGCTCTGCAACGAAGAGCATAACATTCCTTTCTTCACACGGTACTCTTCTTGGATATATCCAGGAGGGCCACTGCTGTATAGTACAGTACTCACCACTTTACAAGACTCTGTAAATCATCTGGCACCATAGTTGTCACCAAAAGCAATATGAACTTCAGTTGTCCCACACACTTGCTCATATTTTGGCTTTCAATTTGTAATATTTTATATTTCTTGTGCTTTCTTCTTTGCACACACTTGTCTGTCTCAAAGTCTCTGTCATTGAGGGTGAGGCTAACCACCAAACAGTGGCCAAAGGAACTTCTGGCACCCACTCTTCTCTGTGATGGACCCAGCCCATCTGGCTTTCTCCAACCCCAGCTTTAGTTCTTCATGAGGGTAGAGAAGGTGGGCTAGGCTGGAGGAAGCCTGAATGCTGTCCAAGCCAGGCTGTGGCTGAAACCATCAAAAACTGTCAGCTGGAGTCCTGTGGCTCAGAACCATCCACAGCTGGGCTCCTTATCAAGTGCAGATGTGCACCTGAGCAGTGGCTTCCTGTCAACACTTCACTCAAGGGCCACTTCAAAAGACTGCTCCCCTGAGTTGGCTGAACCTGTCAGCTCTAGATTCCTTCAGAGGGCCAATTTTGTGGAAAAGTTCCTCTGTGTGGTAAACAAATAAGCATCCAACCCTGTCCTCCAGAGTACTTGGCTAGGCTGCAGTGACAGACTGGAAACCAGATGACACCCAACAGAGCAAGACTTGAGCTGCAAGAGTGGCGGGGCCGGGGAGCAGGGATGAGGGCCCCAAAAGCTGAAGACATGAACCAGCATAGAAAATGTGGCACTCTGGGTAAAGGGAGATACACAAAGCCAGGGAGATCAGGGTGTGCAGGGAGGGGCACTAGTTAAATCCAACACTGATTATCAAAATGTTTAGTAGTTAGTTCCAAGGAGTCAGGATTTTATTAATATTTCTATAATAATTGTATATTGAAGAACTAAGAAAATCTGCAAGTCCAGGCTACTGAACACACTGCACCAATACAATCCCCAAACAGTAACAGCATACTTCATTATAGAAGGATTCCCATTAATTTTTTACTTCATCACTTGTATGTTTTAGATTTTGGTCAGAATGTTTAAAAATAAGTACATCTCATTCTATAAAAACAGCAGTGGAAACACCTATTGGAATAAGAACTCCAGGTGATACAGAAAAAAACGGGTCTTCCCATGGTTGTACCACCAAGTGACATTTGAGTTGAACCTCTGTGAGGGCTCTAGTTCCAGATTTCGATCACCTATCCAGAGCCTCAGCAATCCAAGCCAGGCCCAGGAAGCAACCCACACAAACCAAGTACCACAAGGGTAAACAGGGAAACTGACACTGAGGTGCACTTGCCTGCCCAAGATCATCCTGCCAGCAGAAGGTACATGAAGCCTGGCATCTGGAACCCAGATCTAATGATTCCAAGGCCCTTCCCATGTACTAGCCCCTGCCCAGCCACATCTAACGCCAGTCTTAGCACCCCATCTGTGTCAGAGGGGAAACACTTGATTTCAGGCCGTGGGCAATTGCTGTTGTAGAGGGCCAAGATGGCAACACCGAGTTCCCACCAGAAAACTGAGTGATGCCCTACCTGCCTGTACCCACACACTACCACACAATTTTATTCTTCATTTTCTCCTGGCGACGGCAATCCAGAAGATAGGAAGACTCAGTACTCTAACAAAAAGACATGTACCAGGCTGGTTTCTTCTCATTATGAGAAATGGCCTGCCCAGTCTGTGCCCCAACTCACAGCAGTAAAAGGAGACGTCACTGCATAATTGAGACATTTTATCCTCACATTTGTAATCTGAGTTCTTCAATAATTCAAAGAAATTACTTAAATACACTTCAGAAATGTCACTCCTTCACATTTGTGTCATTTAGATGATTCTTGCTTATTGCTTCAACATCAGCGGGTGGGCAAGTGAGGGGGTGCTTCCCCCATCATGCCCCTTTGCCTCCTGAGGGCAACAGGTGCATGCCCAGTTACTCTTGTGTTGTGCCTGATACCAGCAAGGAGCGCACACACAGTGGGCTGTGGAGATGACAACTACCATGCACAGAGGCCGGAGATATAAGCACAGGAGCTTAAGCTTTCATGTGTGCTCAGGACTCAGGTCTTAACAGAAGTCAGAAAAGTAAAAAGTCCCATCCTGGGAACTGTCAGCAGAAACAACTGCATAAAAACCTTTCAGCTACACTTTACTGAGTCCTCGGGTGTGTGGTTAACACTTGCAGAATGCAATTCACATTCAGACCACACTCCACTCCAAACTACCCAAAGGCGCTCCACCTCCCTGAGGCGGCCCCAGCCCGCAATGACCTGTGAAGCCCACACAGCCTGACCTATCACTCCTCTGGACACTCGCCCTCTCTCCCAGCTGGCTCATTCTACTCTGCTCCTGGGGCCTTCCTGCTATCCTCTGAGGACATGGGTCAAGATCCTACCACCTCTGCCGGGAACTCTATCTAGAGATCCACCTGGCTTGCTCCCTGCCTCCTTCGGGAACTTGGATTTCCCTTTCTCTGTTGAGGCCCTCCCTGACCAACCTGTTTCAAATCACAGCCCTCCCTCCTCCCAATCTAGCATTTACTTTCACTCTTCTCTGATTTACTTTGTCCTTAACACACACCACCATCCAGGATGCTACATATGTCATTTGTTTATCATCTGTAAAGATCCAAGACAGTAGGATTTTTATCTGTTCCAATCACTGCTGGGTGACTTTTGTCTGTTCTGTCACTGCCTGGCATTAGGGAGGTGCTCAGGACATTTCTGCTGAACTGACGGACCGGCTACTGCTTGCGTAGACCTGTGGGGTGGAGATGGTGATGAGGCACTGGCAGAGCTCCCTTATCCAAGCAATTGAGCCCGCCACCCTGCTCTCGTCTACCTGCTGCTGAGACAAATCTAGGCCCTAGTGGATATCCAGAAACCCAGCTATGAAGCTGAAGTCCCAGCCTGAATTCAGGAGGCAGCTCAGGAGACCAGGTGTTCTCGACGCTGTTGCTTTTAAAGTCAACAGAATAGGCACAGTCACGGGCCAAACCTAAGGAAAGACTGAGGATCCAACTGGCTCCTTCCAGCAGCACAAAGCCCCCCAGGTCACAGCCATGTTGTCCAACCCCAAAAGGCAATGGTGTATCTAGAGTTGTCAAAGGAGATGTGGCTTGGGGAGCCTCAGGCTATTGTGAAAAAGATGGTTAGTAGGGGCCTAGGCCTCCAGAAAGGCCCCAAAGAACATGGTGATGCCATTCCCTATAGTATCACTTCCCAGCAGGGATGCTGGGGACTCTGAGCTTTGAAATCTTCAGGATTCCCTGCCAGTAGCTTCCAAAATAGATAGGGCTGGGCCCTTTGTGAAGGTTTCCCCCTCAATGCCTATAATCAGGGGTGCTCTAGCAGGGTAGTCAGGAACCACTCCCCACCCCACTGTCATTGACAGCCCCAAGCTAATCTCAAATATGGTTTTTCATATGCCGAGCCAAATTTGAAGACCACCTGAAGGTCTTCCCACACACTCTGCATTTGAAGGGCCTCTCCCGGGTATGAAACCTCTTATGGCTAACAAGGTGTGAACTCTTGTTAAATGTTTTCCCACATATGCTACACTTGTGGCACTTCTTCTCAGTGGGCACACTGTGGAGTCCAGTGAGTGTGACACTCTGGTCACAAGGCTCCTTACCATCCTTAAAGGGCTTCTCTTCCCTTGGTTCTAATTCTTGTACATTCAGCCCCACGTCCTGATAGGAAGACAAACCCGGTTGGCTGCATTCAGACTGTGGCGCCGCGGTGTGTTTTCTCTGATGGACAGAAAGGGTGTGCTTCCCGATGAAATCCTTCCCACACCACTCACATTTAAAAGGTCTCTCTGTGGTGTGGACCCTCTGATGATTAACAAGACGATAATTCCTATCGTAAGATTTCCCACACAAATTGCATTTATAGCGCTTCTCTCCACTGTGGATTCCCTTGTGATCTAAAAGACTTCTTTTACGTGTAAAGCTCTTTCCACATTCTTGACACCAGAAAGGCTTCTGACCAGGGAGGACTTTGGGCTGCAGATCAGGGAGGACTTTGGGCTGCAGATCAGGGGTCTCTTTACTTTTAGGACTCTCATACTTCTGGTGCAAAGAGTGCTGCCTCTGGTGTCGGTAGAGATTGGAGCTCCATCTGAAGGCTTTTCCACACTCCCTGCACTTATAAGGCTTCTCTCTGGTGTGAATTCGTTGATGGATGAGAAGGAATGAGTGATTGCGGAAGTCTTTGCCACACTGACCACATTTGTAGGGCTCCTCTGTAGTGTGGCTACTCTGAGGAGTTTGGAGCACTGTGTCCTGACTAACAGATGGCCCTGCCTCAGGCTTTCTTTTAATGGCATGTTGCTTCTTATGAACAATGAAGGCTGACCTATAGGTGAATCCTTTTGCACATTCACTGCATTGATATGGTTTCTCGCCTGCGTGAATTCTTTGGTGCTCACTGAGAGTTTTCTTTTGAGTAAAAGTTTTCCCACACTGCTGACATGAAAAAGTTTTCTCCATGGTGGGGGCAACAGTAGTCAGTGGGAGCGGACTACAATTTTGTCTGAAGTCTTCTCGATGTTTCTCTTGTTCACAGAACTCTTCCTCCTGGTGTAACCTCACATGACGAGTAAAGTTTGACCTCCACCGAAAGGTTTTCCTACATTTGGTACATTTATAAGGTTTCTCCTGCGTGTGAATCCTTTGATGTTCAAGCACATAGGACTTACAGTGAAAGGATTTCCTACACTGGCTGCAGTCAAAGGGTTTCTCCCCACGCTGGTCTCTGAAATGGTGACCAAGTCCTGAGTTGTAGGTGAGAGCTTCTTCATACTGATTCAATTCAAATTTCTGCTTAGTGTGGGTTTCCTGGTGCAGACGGTAGGCTGACACACGTTGGAAAGCTTTCTCACATAAATTGCATTTGTAAGGTTTTACTCCAGTATGGATTTTCTCATGTCGCACACAGTTCGAGCTCCACCTAAATGGTTTCTCACACACCCTACATTTAAATGGCTTCTCTTGAGTGTGAAGTCTCTGATGATACGCAAGATGGGAGCTGCGATTGAAGGTCCTCTCACAGTAATGGCATCTGTACAATGGACCCACCAGGTAAAGGCCCTGTTCATGCTGATGATGAGCACTGAGGCTGAAGCCCTTTCCACCTGTGTCCTTCTCGCTCCCTTTCAGGCCAGTATGAATTCTCTGATGGAGGCTAAACCCCCCAATAGTGTGTCTGAGTCCCTTCCCATATTTCTTGTAGTCATAATGGTGTGAACCTTTTCTGAAGTGTCTGCCACAGCCATGTTTAAGGGATCGCTTTCTCTTGGAAACTCTCAAATATGTAACATGTTTTAGGTCAAAACTATTACTTCTTCCCAGTACTTCGAATTCTTTTTCCACTTTATGACTGAGATCAATCTCTTCCTTCTTATTTTTCACTTGTGTGGGGCTTTCACAGTACTTCTTTCCACAGGGCCTGCTCTTCTGTTCAAAAGATATTCTGAGTCCTATTCCTTCAGAAGCACTAGTCACAGGGCAGCCTGATGGCACAGTGAAAGTTTCTTCATCTTCCAATGGAGCCTGTTTTAAGATGAGCTTGTTTGTCTCAATCTGGAGCTTACCTCCTGACAAAAATTAAGAACGAGAGAATGTACTCTTTTCCCATACTTGGAAAGCAATAAGGGCCCATGTAATGCCATGACGTGGGTGGTGAGGCTCTTGCCCGACTGCCAGTACTTTTACAAAATAGTCAGGAATAAGGCAAAACATGGAAGAGTACCCCAGATAACAGGGAAGGGAGGAGGAGAAGCAAGATGAGCATAGCAGATACAGACATGCAGAAATCCTATCCAGCAGGAAAAGAACAAGGGTTGAGAAAAGAGTATTAAACAGCAAGAAAGGGGAGAAGAATCATGGGACTAGTACAGGGGCACTGTAGAAAGATACCCAAAAGCTAAGAGGTAGGTTCTGGTTGAAAGGACTAGAGAGATCAAACCTGTCAAAGAATAATCAAAGGAACAGCCCCAGCAAGTCAGGAGGCTGAGTGGAAAAGGGAAGAACAGTAAGTCCTTCGATGGGCAAGAACTGTTAGAAAGAGGGCCACTGGGGGAAGGGTCAAGGCTAGAAACAAATGGCTTATCATAGGCCATCCAGGAAGAAAAAGGCCTAGGGGCCCATCACCCCTTAATGACACTTAAAGATATTCCTTCTAGCAAACAATGATCACTAGTCCCTAGTGAGGTACTTGACCTTAAGAGAGAGCAGCAGATGCAAGAGGGAAGGGTCTAGTAGATTCTGTGAACTTACCTCTAGGGGAAGCACCTGGATCCCTTTTAGGCTTAGCTGCCTGGATATTCAGGCCCCACGGCTCTCTTGCTTCCAACCAGGAGATCAGAGCAGGTTTAGAGAACGGGCCCACTGCAGAAAAGGAGGGAAAGGGTGGAAAGGTGGATGGATCACTCAGAACTATTCTCTAAGACCCTCTCAGTCTGAAGTCCTGAGGGAGAAGGGAAGGCCAGGAAGGCAGGTGGAGCAAGTGAGGGCAGGAGAACTAGAAAGCCATTTCTGATAGCTATGAGCAAAGGACTGCTAAGATTCTCCTGAGGTGGGAACCACACAATTACTCAACTGATTAATCAGTCAACAGTTTTGTTTTGTTTTTTTATTTTTTAGTTGTAGGTGGACACAATACCTTTATTTTTATGTGGTGCTGAGGATTGAACTCAGTGCTTCATGTGTGCTAGGTGAGCGCTATACCACTGAGCCTCAACCCCAGCCCCAACAGTTTTTGAATACCTAAATAGACTAGGTACTTGAAACATCTTCAATCTTTATAATCACCCAGCATGATAGGCATTATTATCCCATTTTTCAAAAGAGGATAATGAGGTGATAGATTAAGTTGACCTAGTTAGTAGTTACAGGATCTAAACCCAGGTCAGGTCCCTTTCTATGCACAACAACAAAAACCAAGAAGACAAAAGTAAAGGTTGATAGAAGCATGGGGAATGTCGGTGACTTACCCAGAGAAGCCATGTTCCCATAATTCTCCAGCATCACATCCCTGTAGAGATTCCTCTGAGCTGAGTCCAGCCATCCCCACTCATCCAGGGAGAAGGTCACCTCCACATCCTTGAAAGTCATAGCCTCCTGAAAATAACACTGTGCTCTAGAGCTGGTCCACAGCTCTCAGCTTTCAGGAGGGGCTGGAGGAATGGGGTTGGCTGGGAGTAACCCCAGGATAGATCTGCAAAGGTGAAAGACCATCACCCAGCAGAAGAGCTCTGGGCTTAAGGGGGATAATTGGGTCTCTAGGACATGGGTTCCTGGACATGAGGTCACTGGACAGAGAAACCCAGGAGGAGGGGAGGTGCACTTCACCATTAGGCAGCAATGCTGAGACATAAGGAAGGGCAGAGGACTCACCTGGGGCTCAGCCGTCAGGGACCTAGTGGCCCTTACCCCATCTCCTGGGCTTCCTGGGATCCCTTTGCTCTGGGAAATGGCATGCACCTGGGCAGCAGGAGGAGCTGAGGGAGAAGAAAGAGCCATGAGAGAGCTGTCCAGCTCTGGCCACCCACTGAGAAACCCATTCTTCCCACTCTTAGAGGGCTCCTGGACCCAGAAGCAGGTACTGACTGTTGTTAAAACACCCATACGATGTGACCTCAGTGTCTCACAGGGACTGGGAAAGGGGCAGGGGATGTGTGCTGGGAAGAGGAGCTAGTGAGACACAGAGGAGTTTGAGAGAACACAGAGGTAAGGGACAGAAAGAGCCCTTGTGAGAAGACAGACGGTGACAAAACAACACTATGGGAAATTTGGGGGACATGGCTTGAGACTGGGGTCTTAGAGCTAGGCAGAGAGTACCGGATTGCTCGGCCAGGAAGTCATGCACTCCTATTGCATAGGGAAGCTCCAGGTGGTCTCCCAAAGCAGAGCCGCTCCTGAGAGGTGAAGCAGGGGGCCATGTCTGTGCAGACTGCAGGGGTCCTGTACCCATCCAATGCACATCTGGGCTCTGGGCAGGGCCTGGATCCTAGCAAGAAGATGATGTTGTGAGAGGAACCCCCCATGGGAATCAGAAATCAAACTCAGGAAAGTGGCCACATGGCCAGTCTCTAAAGGGCACAGGGAAAAGGATGAGCAAATCAAACTCTATTACCTCCAGTCAGAGAAAAACCCAGGTAGGCTCCTCCCACCCTTCAGCCTTAGTCCAAGGACACACTTGGCCATCAGTAATAGCACTACTGACAGTCCTCAGATGCCACAATGACACCTCCAGCTACCTCTCAGCCCCTAACTTGCCTAGAATTGAGAAATTGGAGAGAAAAAATTAGTCCCTGAAAAGTACATGGATAATGGTTCTGGGCAAACATGCAGCCAAGCAATATCTTCCTTCAAGCACTGTCCTAGGACTGAAATGCAAAGTGACTTCATCAAGCTAGCTCAGATTATTTAAATCTAAATGAAACAGTAACACCCGAGAGAGGCGATGCTAACTAGAGGGTCAGCCAGAGAGCCATGGAAGAAAAAGTTTCTAAGGAAAGAGATCCTTGCCCTGATACTTCGAATAGCTTTGGTCTCTGAGGCAAGGCTGTCCTTGATGCAGAAATGAGCTATGCCAATGAACTTCGGGGCTCTATGCCAATGAACTTCGAGTTTTCCTGACCCTGTGGTGAAGATATTCTTTAGAGTGATATGGACAAATATTAGCCTGAGGCCAATGAACATCTGATAGAGAAAAAGGCTGCAGAGGATGAATTGTTTATTATTTCCTGTTTCTCTCAAACCATAATAAAGGGAGAAAAATGGAATAATAAGAATAAAGGAGCAAAGCCAAATCAGTTTAAAGATAGACAAACTTTCCCAGGCCCTGTTTTTTCATGCTATGGTAATTATTTAATGGGCCACAGGATGATTCTGCAGTTTCATATACACCTTAAAGTATTTCTGTTCATTTTTCAGTATTTGGCAGGTATCTCCCAGCCAAATTTCTAGCTAGTTTTCAACTAGCTAGTAAGGCTCTTTCTGCTCATATGGCAATGTTTCCATGGATTTAAAAACCTAACTTCTAGCCCTAAGTGAACTAAATACAACCAAGCCATAATTTTGTGACTGCTGTGTAACTTATTTCATTTTATACAATATTATTAGGTTCTTCTGAACATCTCCTTGTTTTGATAAAATGATAAAAATAATAAATCTCTTTACTGGCTTCCTGTGTGCAGCAGAAGGAGCAGGAAAGATCTGCTGGGTGATGTACCTCCGCTCTACCGCCCCGCCAGGCCTAGGATAGCCAGCTCTCTCCCAGCACCAAGGCCAGGGCCAGACACATAACAGGCACTCAAATATTTAGTCAAAAAATTTTCATAATCAGATCGTTTCTGCATTTTCTTCTCAATAAACTGAGACTCTGAAAGGTACAATAACATGGCCAAGGACACTGAGGCTGTAGAATTTTGGAATAAAATTTAAGACCCGAGGGCTTCCAATTTCCCAGCTCAGGGCTGCCCCCCATCACTTGTGTCCACCCGCCTACCACCACTCAGATCCTCAGACACTCCCTGAGGAGGAAGCAACTTGATATGTGTAGACTGCTCTTTCTCGTAGTCTCCCATTCAGAAGCCAAGAGTCCTGATCCTAAGGTCCCTCTCCTGCCTTGCCTCTTTATAGGTCTGGGGTCAGACTCAAGACAAATTAGATAACGTGTACAGATGGACTTTATATACTTTAAGCCATTGTGCACAAAAACTGTGATGGCTCAGGATCCATTCCTCAGCTGCTCAGGGGCCATCACAATGAGAAGAGAAGGCCTCCCCTGAACTGCTCAAGCTAACTTCAGAGGGCCACCTCCACCCCTAGACAGGCAGGTAGAGTTCACCAGGTACCACACACTTGTTCACTCACCCTCTGTGGTGTCCCATCAAGGTCCTTCTGTAGCTCCTCCAGCAAAGCCACAGCCTCCTCACCACTCTCAGGGTGATGGAGCTGCACCCAGGTCCGGAGCTCCCCAGGCAGGATGCTCAGGAACTGCTCCAGCACCAGCAGCTCCAGGATCTGAGGCTTGGAGAGAACATCAGGCCTCAGCCACCAGCGGCAGAGCTCCCGGAGCCGGCTCAGAGTTTCTAGGGGCCCAGAAGACTCATGGTAACGAAGTTGCCTAAAGAGCTGGCGGAACAGCTCCTGGCCAGGACGGTTAAGTGTCTGAGGCCTGGCAGTCTGCACTGAAGTATAGCCTTCATCATCTTCTTCTTTCTTTACCATTTGAAGGCGCCCTCGCTCCCTTGAAGCCTGGGCCTGAGCTGGATGGACAGCATACCACCTGCCTGGAGGCATCACTGCTGTTCAGGATCGACCCAGCTAAGTGCACACAGAGTCTGCTACTGGGTCCTCAGGAGTATCTTCTGAGCATCAAAATACCCAATGTCATTTGCTGGGACATCAGAAGTCACTGAAATAACCAACGTTCCTGTTCAGAAGTGGACAGATAGGAAAATGATGTCCATCTCACATGATGCAGTTAGATGCTGTTGGTTGAGATCATCTTTGGATGTATGAGAAGAGGGCACACGTAATGCACAAATGTACTTGTATCAAGCATAGCAGGGCTAGATTGTCACTTACTGAGGTAAGCCAATAAAACATCCCAGAGTAAAGTAAAACACGTATACAGCTAAAATACAAAAATATCTGATGAAAAAATCAAAGAAGATGTAAATAAGCTGACAGACATACCATATTCAAGTATCAGAAGACCTGACACTGTAAAGTTATCAATTCTTCCCAAGTTGATCTATAGGTTTAATGTAATACCTTCAAAATTTCAGTAAGAATTTTTAAGGGTTATGAGGGATATGGCTTAGTAATAAAGTGCTTTTCTAGCATGCATGAGGCCCTGGATTCAATACCCAGCACTACAAAAAATAATAATATTTAAAATTTTAAATTTAAAAAATATGCAACAATTTACATGGGAAGGCAAAGGAATTAGAATAGGCCAAATAATTTTGAAAGAATAAAGTGAAAGAAATCAGCCTGTATAATTTTAAGACTTATAGTCACAGTAATCCAGACTGTGTGATATTAGTAGGTAACAGATATTAGTAGGTAACAAACAGATCAAGGAAACAGAACAGAAAAAACAGAAACAGACCCACACAAATTTGATCAACTTGTTTTTTAAAACATCAAATAGGATTTTACTAATATTATATATAGTATTTCAAAAACAAAATGCTGATTGGAAAATCCTTGATTTTATGGCCCATGATGATTAAGGCCAATCACTGAATGTATGAAAATCACTAATCCAGCTTTTCACTGATTTCCTGCATTTCCTTTCACATCTCCTCATAACAAAGGGTCAATCCAAGAGGTCAAGCTACTTTCAGGAGACAACAGAGCTTCGAAAGCAAAGAAAGTAAACCAAGCCAAATCCAGCTCCCCACTTATTAGCTGTATGACCACATAATCTTACCTTATTATATAATGACATTTAAATGAGAAGCTACCTAAGGCACATTGTGGGCTCTCACAGTGTTTGTCTGTTTCTTCACATCTAGGAAAGGAGCTTGTGCCCAGGGGCTTGTGCTTCAGATCACGTCACCATGTAGAGGAGTCCACCCCTGAGATGTGCCCAAATGACTTTCCATAAAAAAGCAAAAGTAATTCCAATAGGAAAGATAGTTTTCTCAACATATACTACTAGAGCAATCAGACAGCCATAGGCAAAATAACAAAAGTTGACCTTGATCTCATTCCCTGTAGAAAAATCAATTCAAAATGGATCACAGGCTTAAATGTCAAACATTAAACTGTGCAACTTTGAGAGAGGGTAAAAAAAAACAACCAAAGGAGAAAACCTTCAGGATTCAGCAATATATTAAAAAGAATGATACACCACAAACAAGTGGAATGTATCCTAGCAAGGCTGATTAACATATCAGCAGAATAAAAAATAAAAAACAAAAATTACACATTCCCAATCAATCGCTGATATGTGGAAGCTAAACAACAATAAAGCAGGGGAGGGGAAGAAGAGTAGTTCAGGGGCTGGAGTTGTAGCTCAGAGGTAGAGCATTTGCCTGGTACGTGTGAGGCACTGGGTTCGATTCCCAGCACCACATATAAATAAGCAAATAAATAAAGGTCCATCAACAACTAAAAAAAATATTAAAAAAAAAAGAAGAGTAGTTCAGTATATTAAACAAAGGGGAATAAAAGAAAGGTGGGGTAGGAATAGTAAAGACAGTATAATAAATCTAACATTTTTCCTATGCACACATATGAAAACAGATCTAAGTGAATCCCACCATGGTGCCCACTCCCAAGACTGACATCCTAATCAGAACAGGATCTATTCCATGCTTGTACATTTTTACCAAAATGGATTCTAATGTCAAGTATAACATGTATAAGAAGAATCCATTAAAAAAAAAACATGTTCCTGTCAACAGATGCAGAAAAAGTTTTAACAAAATCAAACATCCTGTCATGACAAAAGAACTTGATTAATAGAAACTGCTCAGTTTGCTAAAAAGCCATCTACAAAAACCCACAGCTAACCTCATACATGGTGAAAGCTGGATGTGGATGATGATTCCCCCTCAAAAGCATGAATAAGACAAGAATATTCACTCTCACCTCTTCTACAAAACACTGAATGGGAGGTTCTGGCCATGCCAGTTGAAGAAAGGATGGAAAAATAACTACTATGTCGCAGGCACTAAGGTCCCAGAAATGAATAAAACAGACAAAAAGCACTGCTTTGAGGAGCTTATTAAGGGAAGATAGATATGTAAGTAGCATGCCAGACAGTAATGGGGCTATGTAGTAAAATAAAACAAAGGAGACGTTTAGGACCTACAATGAAAAAATAAGGTCTTAAATTCAATCTTGCAGAAAGCAAAGGAATGCTCACAAGACCTCTTTTATATTGTTTCTAGGACAAAACATTGAAGACTACAAATTACAGTAAGTTATGCGTTACTGTACTGTATTATCTTTTTAGTCTCAAGCAACTGATATCATAGAATGTTTATTATGCATTAATATTTCTGGACACCAGAAGCCACAGAAAACTTACTGGTGGAACGGTTAGCAATTTTCATGCTTTTGTCAGCTTTCCTTTTAAGTGCATACTGGAGTTAATCTTCAAAACATTCCCATCTTTCAGCCTACCATAAGAAGGGATGGATTTATTTATGTAATTTTTTGCAGCCAAAGTTTATCTGCCTTTCTTTGGCATTACAAAAAAATACTAGAGCAGCCTAATTCTTCAGTCCCTAAATATGCTGACTACTGGCATCAAATCAATATTGGCATCAGATTCACCATTTTAGGCCGGGAGCCATTTTATCTAGAGGCTCCAAAGTTTCGATTCTGAGGCCATACTGCTTAACTTCCTGTAAGAACATGTATCTACTAAACGATTAACCCCACCACAGCTTATGATGCAACTCCTAAGCAACCTATGAAATTCCTCTTGCAACCTATAAAGCTGCTCTGTGAGTGCCGACCGTTGCTGCTCTCCTCGGAGGGACAGCCTTGTTGGTTTGCCTTGTGTTACCAACAATAAACCTCTTGTGTAAGATTCCAGTGTGTGACATGGTCTTTGGACTTTGCGTGGACTCTGCAAGTGTCCTTCACTGGTGCAGTGACTTGGATTAGGCTCTCCCATCAACTTGCTCTCCCCTTGGGGGAGCTGAGCTGCTTTGGGATCCTATGCTTGGTCCTAGGCCGCCCTCATCACAAACTCACCTTCCATTTCACCGGCTGATTTGAGTAAGTTCCCCTGCCTTCGGTCAACTCAGACGACCTGCCAGTCTCAGGAAGTGACAGCTGAACGTCCAGCACCCCAGGGTTCTGGGCACCCCAACCACGGCTTTCAGAGCTACGGTTGATCCCTACTGTCAGCCGAGTCCATAAGCTCAGAAGGCCTCAACCCTGGCAAAAGATCTCTCTCTTTCTGGGTCTCGGTTACTCTTTCAGCTCAAAAGCCCTGGTGCTAGGCACCAAGAACCCCTACTGCCCTTAGCCCCAGCTACTGTCCTGAGGCAGTGACTGTTGTGTGTGAACTGATAAATTCAATCAATAAGAGTATAAGTTATAGGTTACAGATTAGTAAAAAAATATAGATTATAGATATAAGATTTTGATAAGTGAGATAAGACAATTATAAAGCAAGAACTGTCATAGACAGGCCTAAGACTCCATTTTCCTGCCTTCTATAAAACACTGTTACAAGAGCTGTTTCTGAGAAACTGAAATGAAAGCTGTTTTCTTATTTAAAAAAAAAAAAAAATTGTCTTTCTGTACTTTGTACCCCACCCAATTGTACTTTACTCAGGATGCAGCAGTAGTCACGGTGAGCTACATCCTGGGTTTGAATGCTGTTAGGATGGCCTTAGGCCTGAGCCTAAGCAACTCCAGTTTGAAACCAGCAGTTTCACCAGGCACACCCACAGAGCCCTCCAGTAAGGCCACAAACAAGTTACTTCCCCTCACCCAGATAAACAGAGTAAAGCCCCTGGCAGGCTGTCCTTACCTGATAAGAGGAAAAGGCTAGAGACAGGGTGGAGACCACCAGACCAGATGTTTCTGATCCCAGGGTAAATGATGTCACTGAGAAATCCGGGGATAGCTGATAAGGATTGAAAGGGGGGTCAAAAGCCCTAAAATATAGTATAAATAATAGAGCAAATGAACAGGGATTCAGCCAGCTGAAATAAGGATGCACTCGAGCTGGAGAGCCGGATGAGGACCTGACATCCCATCACTTGTCATCATTCTGAGCTTCTGCGTGATCCTCACCGCTCTCAAACTCTACCACCTCTTCTGGACCTTGGTGAGAGCAGCAACTTCTCCCTATGACCTTCTCCTCAACTGATCATCCACTCCACGCCAGGAAAAGCCTGCCTTGGATCTTTGGATCTGGACCTGATACTATGTTTGAGTGAGTGTGCATCTGCTGGACATAAAGCCTAAGGCTTCAGACTTTTGAACTTAGCCTGCAGAGGGAATGTCTGTCACTAGCCTGTCATGATTAAGTGTGTTTTGCAGTGTTTAGAATTAATCTAGAATTGTTTGCTGTGAATTGATTCTGTCTATTGCAGTGCCTAGCATTAAGGATTGTCGTTTTCTTGATTAAGAACCTACAGAGTGAAACTGTTTTAGGTAATTTGAGTGAATAAATCATTGAAAGGGGCAGAAGTGCATGGACATTCTTTATTTCTCCCCTCGAATGCATATGTCACAATTTTGCCCCCTCGCAACAAATGCCCTCGTGGGTCTACATGACTTTGAAATAGATTCTCACCCCGCAGACCCCCACCCAAATTCAGGCTGCAATAGCACCTGCTTGAACCCAGGGCTGTGGTCAACTGAATTGCAAAGCTAATGCTTTTTTTTTTTTTTAATTGCTTCTGTTTATCGCTTGCTTGCTTGCTGGAAAATTCCAGTTCTGCCTAGAGCCCACAGGTCCCACTTATTAATATTTTAATTTCTATGATTGGCTAGCTTACAATCCGATAAACAAGTCACTGAGTTGTGTTTTTTGTGTTTATATTCTCTTTGGATGGACCAGGAAGCTGCTGTCCTCCCACAGAGATTGAGTCTCTGTGATGGGTGACAGACCCTGGCCAAGTAAATAAAGCTCTCTTTTGATCTGAAATTTGGACTTAGAGTGCTTTCTATGGCGTCTCCCCATAACAGTGACAACTCCCAGAGCAGTTAGCTCTTCCTCATTCAGTATAAGAGAACACAGAGGGATGCCTCTGTTTCTCCCTACCAACTCTCTCTTGCCATGGGGTGCAGCCAAGTCTGCCATCCCCTCGGACACCCCTTTGGGTTGCCTTTTAGCAAATTTAGATTCACTCCACCTTACCTCTGACTTAAGGTTCGAAAACTAATTCATCTCTGCAACTAAATTTGGCCCTTCTATACCTTAGACAATGATTTCAAACGGCCACTAAGGGCATTCTAGATTCCCAACATTTTGAGGGACATTGTTAACTTTTGTGAGCACTCAGGGAAATGAAAAGAGAGCCCCTATGTTCAGGCTTTCTCTTTCCTTTGTTCCGAACCATCCCTCTGCTCTTCCTATTCTCCAGCCCAGGTTCTGCTCACTCTTGAAACCCTCTCCTCGACCTCAGCGCCTTCCTGAAATCCCAGACTTCGGCCCCACTGACAAACCCCCTCACCACTGTTCTCCACCTTCTACTCAGAATCCTCTGGGACCTCCCTCACCTACTTTCAATCTACGCGTTACTCACTCTCACTCTCGCATGGACCCCTCTACCCAGCCCACACCTCTGCTTCCCCTTCATGAAGTAGCAGGGTCGGAGGGAGTTGTTCGGGTACCTGTCTCTTTCTCCCTTAGTGACCTCTCTCAAATCGAAAGAAGGCTAATGTACCTCCAATCCTTCAGGGTACATTACGGAATTCCAATACCTAACCCAGTCACACGATCTAACTTTCCATGACGTTCATATGATCCTATCCAACACCCTCCTACCTGAGGAACACAGGTGAGTTTGGGAACAGGCCAGAAACTATGCCCACAAGGTTCATAATTCCTCCGTCTCCCAATTGGCACTGAGGCAGACCCTGATCGTGACCACAACTGGGATTACAATTCGATGAACGGATCACTAGTAGGAACCTATTTATTACCTGCCTCATGGCTGGACTAAGAAAATCGGCCCATAAGCCTATTAATTATGAGAAACTCCAAGAGATTATTCAGGATAAAAATGAAAACTCCTCAATGTTCTTGGACTGCCTTACAAAGGCCCTTTTACAGCACACCAATATAGCCCCTGAAACCCCAGACGGGAGACAACTACTAATGACCTACTTCTTCTCCCAGGGCTTCCCCAACATTAAGGCTAAATTCAAACACCTAGAGAGGGGACCCCTAACTCCTCAAGCAGAAGTTCTACTAGTGGCTTTTAAGGTGTATAATGGGAGAGATGAGAAGGCCCGTAAACAAAAATACCAGATGCTGGCCAAAGCCTTTCAACCTGCCCCAACCACGGGCATTTGGGCATCCCCGCTTCCTAGGAAGCAGCCAGGGGGACCCCTGGCCCCTGCTTCAAATGTGGTCAAACAGGTCATTGGGCCAGAGCATAAATGAATCCCCAGAAGCCTCCTAGTGCATGTCCCAAATGCCATCAGGAAGGATACTGGGCGGTTGACTGTCCTCAAACACCAAGAGGTACAAGGCCATCTGCTCTGATACCTTTCAAGCGGATCTTCTAGGTCTGGCAACAGATGACCAAGGAGGCCTGGATCCCCTCACCTGACTTCTCAGGAGCCCAGAGTAACCACTGTGGTAGCAGGTAGGCCCATCTCTTTCTTCTTAGACACTGGAGCCACATACTCAGTCCTAAAGGAGTTTTGGGGACCTACTTCTCTTTCTCGTTCCTCTATTGACAGGGTAGAAGGAACACAGACCAGCCCTTACAAACCCCTTTGCTTCACTGTATATTCCACGGCATTACCCTTTCCCACTCCATCCTGGTGGTTCCCCGCTGCCCAGTTCAAGAAATCAAACAGATCCTACAGGATCTTCACCTCATCAATAGGACCATAATTCTCCATCCACCCAGCAGTTCTGAACCTGTATACCCTACTCTCCACCATTCCCTCACACACCATTCATTTTTTGGTTTTGGACTTAAAAGATGCCTTCTTCTCCATTCCCTTACACCCCCAATCCCAGGACATTTTTGCCTTCACCTCGACAGAACTAGACACTCAAATGCATCCAGCAAATTTAGAAATCATAATATTTAGGGAGTACTGTGAATGTACTTAATGCCCTACATAGTTTAAAGGGTAAGTTTGTAGATATTGCATATCCAATATTATGTGTATTTTATCGCATTTTTATCCTAATATTACGCACAAGTTTTTAGAAAGAACAGCATGACCTCATTTCATAATCAAAAGATGTGTGTGCGCGTGTATGAGTGTGCACACCTATGTCAAGCAGCCAGAAAGCGAAGATTGCGACACTGCAGTTTCCACTTTCCCTCCACTTACCCAGTCTCCAGTGACCACGCCCTCGCACATACTTGTGTGGGAGAGAACGCCTGAAGAAACACCACTCCGGATCCTCCGCACTCCAGGCCCGCCCCTGAGGCCCTGGTGAGCTTCCCAGGGGCTGGAAGGGATCGCGGCTCCGTCCTGCCCAGTCCGAGGACTGCCGCCCTAGGGGAGACACCTCCGCACCGCGACCCAGGGCCCACAGCCGCCACCGTCACAGTCACCACTAGAGCTCACCGTCTCGTCAGCGCCGACAAACTGCCCCCGCCGCGCCCACATCTCCGCCGGGTGACGCACGCGCGTCGCCGCTTGGGCCACCGCGCCTCTCTAGGACGCCAGGAGGGCCAACGACTCGCCTCCTCCCGGCCCGAATACTGCGCTGTGGGTCCTGCGCGGTGGAGTTCCTGCCCCTAAGCGGCCACAGCAGGAATTGCTTCCGCCGCCCAGGTCCTTCAGGCCCCAGGGCTCTGTCAGCTTTGACTTGTTTTCCCACATTCCTCCCAGTACGTCTGCAGGACTTCCCTGTAGGCCTCTCTCCCCCGAGGGAAGAAAGGGAGGTGAGAGGTCGAAACAGGAACAATGACTAGATGACTGCTCATTCCTCCCTCCTTCCCGGTGTACTAAATGTAAAATAAGAATTAAAAATAAAGAAAGGGGGTTTGCAAACTCCTGTTGAAAGAGAACCAGAACGCTAGACCTCCTGTAGGCAGATAGGAATAAAGGCCCCAAAGGAAGGAAGGAAACCATGACATCCTGAGATACCTGGCCTGCAGAGCATACTGTGGCTGCCAGGGATGGCTTCAACCACAACAGCACTTCCTTAGCTGCCACTAGCAACGGCCAACCACAAAATCTACCCCCTACCCAAACACTGCCTCTCACCTGGGTTGAGTGCCAAACCCCAGGGTTGAATGAGTCCTCTCAATTTTGTAAATAAGGGATTAAATTTATGCACTTCTAATTGGTCTATTAAAACCAGCGCTTGACTGTCCCATGCTAGCATCGGGCTCTACCAATCACCTCCGCTGGACCATCAGCCATGCTTACAAAATTCCTAGACAAAAAACAACAGTTAGCGATAACCTCTCCTACTGCGGGAGCCTTTTCCTGCTTTAAATAAAGCTTGCTAGTCTACTGCCATAGTAGATACGGTCAGTGAATTTCATTCTTAGGATTCGCAAAACAAAGAACTCCCTTGACGCCAGTCTCCTCTGTTACACTATTAGACCTGGAGGTCAAGATGTGTGGAGCAGTCCTGTCCTCATGGATTCCAAAATCTCATAATCTTGTTAATTTTAACTTTTAACCAGTTCAACTTGTTTCCTGGTAGAGGTACTGATGTCATTAGGTAATACTTTGGAGAATACCTATTCTTGCTTGCCGTTATAGCTTTCCTATGATGTTTAAACAGTGACTAATCAACAACCTGGGGCAATCACCTATAACAACCAAGGTTTTTTTCCTCGGATTTTGGTTTTTGGGGTTTTTTTTTTGGGGGGGGGGGTGTATCCTCTTTTTCTTTTTATTTACGAAACCAGACCCCTCAAACCTATTTTCAGAGCACTTATTCTGGAGAATACATGTTTCCCCAAGTGGCTGTCCTCTTAGCTCAAATAAACACTTTTTCAAACACTTATATGAGATTCTGGGTTCTTGATTCATGGTAACCTTGAAAGAGAAGAACCAGATTTCATGGGAGACTAGTTACCAGGACTCCTTCCTCATTGCCATCACCTCCACACCTAGGGGAACACAAAACCTTAGCTTCCCAGAGTCTCCACCTATTATCTTCTATGGGTAAACTGTAACTAGGCTTACCTGATAGGTGAAGAATGGTGCTACTGATCAGTACCTGGAATCTTGGAGGACTCAGCTGGTAGGTAGAGAAGCTGCCTGAAGAGGGCTGGAGCAATGTGGGGAGGCTGCCATTTCCCCTAGGAGTAAATGTCATCTCTTGCCAGTACCAGAGAACTTAGGATGCAGATCCCAAACCATAAGACCATCTGCATCACTGTTGGGCATGCTGCAAAGCTGCTGTGTCCATGGCCAAGTAGCTGTCCTTGTACTCTTCTGGTATGTGCTTCATAGTGGCCAGCCTCAGCAGCCAGTTCTCTCTTTCTGTTTCCATTGATGATGTCCATTTGTGCCTTAGAACTTTACATTGCTCATCTTTTCTTTCTTTCTTTCTTTTTCTTTTCTTTTTTTTTTTTTTTTTGGTACCAGGGTTTAAACTCAGGGGCACTCAACCACTGAGCCACATCCCCAGCCTTATTTTGTATTTTATTTAGAGACAGGGTCTCACTGAGTTGCTTAGCACTTCGCCTTTGCTGAGGCTGGCTTTGAACTTGGGATCCTCCTGCCTCAGCTTCCAGACTGCTAGGATTATAGGTATGCACCACTGCACCTAGCTGCTTCACTCATCTTTACTACTCCAGTCACCAAGAAGGAAAACAGAAATGTTTCCCAAACACCAGAGAGAGGGTGATGTTAAAGAAGGAAAACAGATGATACATTCAAACAGAGTAACTGAGGAAAATTCAAGTGGCAATTTCCAAAACGTGGTGGACAAAGTTAAGACAATGCATTACAGCTGTCAGTATTTGGAAGCTATATTCACCCCCTTGGAGCAAGGTACCTGACAAAACTGTGGACTTCAAGTGAGGAACACAGCCAACCCATGTTCCAGCACAGAGGAAATTGGTGTAATAAGTAACCTGAAACTGATCTTCTGATCTCCTGCCAGGGCCTCCTATTATCCCAAAAGGAAGGCAGGAGGCAGTTCAAGAAAGTCAGCCTCCCAAGTCTCACATCAGGGTTGAGAGGGACAAACAGTACATATGGAGGGGCAATTGGAAAATATTAAACACATGCAAAACGGAAAGTGGGAACTGATCATTACTGGCTAATTTGTTTAATAATTTCCATTTTAAATAATGTTCTTGGGTAATTGGTTTGAAGGGTGGGGAGAGATTCATAATGATCCATAACAGGAAAAAAAGAGTTTGGGAGTTTTGAGAACAAAATTTCCCCATCATAAAGGGTCTTTTGTAGGTCTCTGTGTTTGGGGCATGCTTACTGGATGTTTTTCATCTTGGTAGGTGCTTAGTATGGACAGCACCCACATTTGATGTGGTCAAACAGATCAATAAAGATTAACTTCACTAGCACTTGCAAAGCTCTAGGGCCAGGCTTTGGGACTCTATTCTTTTTAAATATTTGTTTTTTAGTTTTAGATGGACACAATATCTTTATTTTTTTTTTTACATTTATGTGGTGCTGAGGATCGAACCCAGTGCCTCGTGCATGCTAGGTGAGCACTCTACCACTGAGCCACAACCTCAGCCAGGGCCTCTATTTTTGTGCAACTAGCATCTTGAAGCTCAAAGAAGTTCTGCTAATTATTTAGGTGATTTCTCTGAATGCCCAGAGCACTTGAACCTGTAACAATGAGTTTTCTTCATTTCTCTGGCAATTCTTACTAGCAATGTAATGCCAGATTCGTGGAACCCCAATAGACCTCCAGGAGCAAGCTCAAGCCTGGACTCACAACCGTTTCCAATGCATCGGTCCCAAGGAGTGAGTCCCAATCCTTTGTTCAGTGAGATTTTATAAGTTTTGGGGGATACTCTATGCATCACAGCATCACAAGGCAAATCATTCACACCACAGGAAAGTCAAACAACAACTCTTAACATTGATTAGTACATTCACTGGAGGGTGATTGGTTAGTACAAGAGGGGATTCGTTTGAATTGATTGGTTTAATCCGTGAGGGGTGTATGTGCTAAACTACATGGTTTCCCAACATGTTATCAACCACCATAAACTACTGGGGGAGGTGGTCATCTGACATCCCGGATATTTTCCCTGTCTCATGCTGATTGGTGGTTGCCAGGGGGTTGCTATGGGTCCTAACCTCAACTAACTGAATCAGGAACACCTGGAGCCATAGATCTCTCCTGTTATTTATAGACAAACAACTCAGCAGGGTGGGTATGTGCCTGGAAGGTTCTGTGGGTTTTCCCAAGGACAAGAGTCACGCCCCCTTCCTTGGACAGGCTTTGCTCTGAGGTAGAGGCTGGTTTCTCAAAAATGGAGTCACATCAGTTTCTCAGCAATATTTCCTGAATGCTTAATATTCTCTCAAATTGGAGCTGTTTGCTTGGTAAGAGCCCTAGGTCTGTGAACTTTAATGTGCATTAAGGCAAATCACTTGGGGGATCTGGTTAAACTACAGATTTGAATTCAGAAAGTCTAGAGAGAAGCCAAAGAGTATTTCTAACAAACTCCCAGGTGCACCTAAGATGATCAGGGACTCTCATGGTGGAACAAAGATTGAGACAATGAAATTAACCCCTGAGTGCAATAAACAATTTCTATTTGTAGCATGGCATGTTGCTTCTCTACCTTTGTGTTTTCTTTTTCTGTTACTAGGGTGATTTACCGCTCAGGTATGTCCCCAGCACCACCAACACCCCCTTTTTCTTTCTTAATATAGGGTCCTCTGCCTTAGCCTTCCTAGTGGCTGGGATGATAGGCATGGACCACCACACCTGGCTCTTTTCAACAAGATTTGTCATGAGGCCCACAGAAGCAGAATGTTTACACAAGATGAAATTGTTACTGGGGGAAAGCCCTAAATAAACTCTCTAACTTCACTTAGTCAACGTAAAAATCATGAATCTTGGAGATCACACAGCTAAGCAATCCATTATTAGTTTCCCACTAGTTTTGTTGTATATAATACCTCTGACATGTGGGTTATAATATAATGATAACAGTTGCCTAAGTTACTTTTCAGGTCACTTTTGCTAAAGAACACTGATTCTTCCCTTGAGCCTGCAGATGTCTGATGGGTGACTGGGATAGGATCTCTGTCTTCAATAATATGACTGTTCCCTTTACCACTTTAACTTTTGGGTCAGATTAAAAGTTCTGCATTACTTTTTGGAGTGGATATGTGTTTTCTTCTACCCAACCCTCCTGTCTGATCCACAGCTATACCAACAGCTCAAGTACCCAAAGTCCTTCAGTCTATCACTAGGCCCAGAATGAGCCAAAAAGCCAGGGCATTTGCACAGGATGATGATTTATAATACAAAAGTTCAAGTTGACCATGACCACCTGGTGGCCTGATTCTCATATAAGAAGAAACATCTTTTGGAACAGTGCCCTTTCCAGTGGAACTTACCAATGGAAGGTATTAGACTATAGCCCGCTCCAGAAAATCAATAAAAACTTGCATCTCCCTTTGTTAGGAGAGCAGCCTTGTCCCTCTTCTTGATCA